GTCTTAGGAGGACTGACACCCCCTGAGTCATCTTCTCCCTCTCTGCCAATCCCACTGTCTTCCTCCATTTCAGAAGACAGGAAACATTGTCCATTGTGTAATCTTCATCAAGGCAGAAATTATGGTGAAATGATTCCACCTACTCATAGCCAGTCAGCCGGCATATGGTGGGATAAGAGGAGGAAGAAGAAGGTGTATCAGTAACATTGGCAGATAACTGTATGCTCTGCACCTGGGAGGAGGTAGGTGATGTAGGCTTTGTGAGTCAGTCATCTACCTCCTGTGTGTGCCGTGGTTGGATTGTTCGGCCACTTTGTCAAAGGAAAGGTGGACGTGACCTGAATCTAGTGTGTGGTGTGTGGCTGAATGAACAATGTGTGGTGGGTGCTCGTCAGCATTGCAGGACCTCTGGAAGTGGTCAGGTCTAGGAGGAGGTTCCTGGGCTTTCCTGCTATATACAGGGGAAGGTCATCTCTCTGTCCGGAGTCTATATCTCCAGAAGGATGTTTCTGGATGTAGAAGCTGCAGACTGACATTGAGTGTAAGTCTAGAAGGATGATTGTGATGGATCCTCTCTCCTCCCAGTAGGACATTATTAATCCTCCTCCTGCACACACATACACAGCCTCAGGGTCAGGGTCAGACTTGTTCAGCTTGTTATACAGAAGGAGGAAGTTGGAAGCAAATATTGATGTATTGTGTTACAGGTGAATGGTGACCGAGCTCTCTGTGCAGGTGGAGGTGTTATGTGTTAACAGATAATTGCCCTCTCCCCCTTCTCCTCCTGGAATCCAGAAGGACATTATTGTAGACGATGCAGAGAACCATCTTTTCTCACTTCTGGTCTTCTTATGGGGAAGAAGTAGGACGCTGCCAGTGCCGAGTTCCAGGATCTTCCAGAATCTTCTGGGATTGGACACGTCACCTTTTTATATTGTCGGGAAGTACAAACAGTCTGAAGGGAGGATGTATGGGCAGATCTAACAAGGTGAGAGCCGACCAATCATTCTTCTGAGTTCCATATTCTGAGAGTTGACAGGAAATGGGAACTCCGCTCACTGCTGGCAGCACTCTAATTCCAAATAGACCCGAGGTCTGTAGATTGTGTATAGTGGATACATGGATGGTGTATACAGACAGTCCCCGGCTTATGAACAAGATGGGTTCTGTAGGCTTGTTCTTACGTTGAATTTGTATGGAAGTTTGAACAGGTACATTTCTGCTTGGTGATAATCATAGCATTCATTGGGGTATGGCCTTTCACATGCTCCATTATTCTACCTTTTATCTTTTAAAATTGTTGCTAGGGATGCACTGACACTAGTATCGGTATCAGTGCCGATGCCGAGTACACGTACTCGCCCAAATGCTCCGATGCCTAGCCCGATGCTTCCGGTATCAGGAAGCCGAGTAGCGAGTCATTACACACTGCCCAGCTTTCTGATTGGCCAGGAAGCTGGCTTCATGCTCCCTCAGCACCTCATGATGAGGGAGCATGGAGCCGGCTTCCCGGCCAATCAGGAAGCTGGGCGCCGCGTCATTACACGCCGCCTGGCTTCCTTAATGGGACTTTCAGTATCGGTATTCGGTATTGGTGAGTACCAAAAAAAAATATCGGTACTCGATACCGAAAAACCGGTATCGGTGCATCCCTAATTGTTGCTGGCTGTAACTATATATATATATAATATTCCCTCTGGTTCTGGTCAGGGGGTAACTACAAGTCTCACCATACCTCCACTGATATTGCCTGTGTTTCCATCCATATTGGAACTACAAGTCCCTCCAATGAAATTTTATTTTATGTCCTGTCATGGGACAACTAAAAATCGCAGCATCCCATCCAATTATATTTTCATTGTGTCAGACCAAGGAAAAAACAGAAGTGCTGGCATGCCTCCACTGATATCTCCTGTGTGTCTAGATAGGGAGTAACTACAAGTCCCAGCATCCCCCCACTGATATCCCCTGTGTATACGACCATTAGGACATCTAACATTCTGTGTACAGGTTCTTTGCATTCTTCATATGGAATAAAATCAATCTCCAGTGTTCTCATTATACTTCACTCGGCAGACATAAGACAATGAATGCAGTATATAGAATGAGAGATAGAACACAATAGTAAACAATATATATACACAGTACTGTGCAGAGGTCGGGGGGGTCAGGTGCTGTAATGCTGTAAAGTGAGAATGTTTCAGAAATAAAAGAGTTCTTAGTTTATTTGTATTTTTCCAATCAATATTTGGGGTGACCCCCGCTTGGTCTTCTTCCAATCAATATTTGGGGTGTCCCACCTTTTAATTCTTCTAATCAATATTTGGGGTGACCCCCCCTTTGACTTATTCCAATCAAAAGTAGGGGTGACCCCCCTTTGCCTTCTTCCAATAAAAATTAGGGGGACCCCCTTTGCCTTCTTCCAATAAAAATAAGGGGTGACCCCCCTTTGCCTTCTTCTGATAAAAATTAAGGGTGACCCCCTTTACCTTCTTCTTCCAATAACAATGCCTTCCTCCAATCAATATATGGGGTGACCCTTTGCCTTCTTTCAATTATTTGGGGTGACCCCCTTTGCCTTCTTCCAATCATTTGGGGTGACCCCCCTTTGCCTTCTTCCAATCAATATTTGGGGTGACTCCCCTTTTGCCTTCTAATATTTGGGGTGACCCCCTTTGTCTTCTTCCAATCAATATTTGGGGTGACCCCTTCTTCTAGGTACATCTTGGAGAAGTAAGCACGGATCTTCTGCGGATGTCGGCTGCCTCACATCCCCGGCCCGTGGAAGCGATCTGGCGACAGCTGAGCTGCCAGAATCGCTTCCAGTGTAAAGCCGACAGCCGGCTCTACAAAGGTAAACAGAGTCTGTCTAAAGGGGCCCGCCGCCTCCGATGTATGACATACGTCATTGGCAGCGAAAGGGTTAAAAGTAGAATTATTCCTCAACCCCTTATGTACATACCTGCTCACAATTGCACCTTCATTGCTTTAGAAGTTGGCCCAGGTAGAAAGGCAGATTACCTCTTTATATTCACTTTACAAAGAAATCTATAAATACATTAAACGTATTCAACTTCTGTAACGGGTCAGACTTTAACCCCGAATCCAATACTTTCATCTCACTTTGTGCCGGGGAGACTGAGCTAGAATTAAAAATACCCATCTCTACAAGTCCTCTGACCCCC